GCGTTTCAATGGCACACGTCATCATACAATAGTGTATGACAAAGCACTCGCGTCTAGTAGTGATTGCTCTATAGTCATCATTATTGACGATACCACCGCTTTATTGTTCTGTACGCGCTCTCCTCTTTAGTATTTACGGGCTCGCAATCCGTTTCACTCAGTTGGCTTTACGTCGCGCTCGGGATGATGACTCGATGTTTTTCTTGTTTTAATTATTAATTCCATGTTTTGCTAACACAATCTTTTATCACTTATGGTGTACGACTTTTTTTGAATAACAACGTGGATAGAAACTAAAAGTGGTTGTTACTGATTGAAAATGTAATTTTAAATTTGACTCGATTCGGTTTTCGTTGTTAAGACCCAAATGCAACGTAACGCAAACCATCTCACCATCGGTCTTCTCTAATGATGGTTATCGTAGATTAACATTCAATTACTCTTCTTACGTAACAAAGTAACTTTCCTTCCTCTTACCTGCAATACTTTCTTAAAATTTACACTTTGTAATAAATGTATACATGTTAATTGGTCTCAAAAAAACTCTAATTAGAATATTTCGAATGCAAATACACAGCATATTGCACATCACATAGAACATAACAAACGAAAATGAAACTAATTACAGTATTGGAGAGTTTAATTTGGAGTGTATAATTGTCCGTCTAATAAGCCCAGCGTAACGGTCGGCGCACATTATACGCTTAATTACTGCGTTTTGCATAATCAAATTAATATAAAAATTCACTCACCTGCCTCGTTGCTTTGGTGGTCAAGCGCGGCTGCTAAGCACGAGATGTAGGGTTCGCTCGCCGGGTTATTCACGGCATGAAATCCATTTTGAAGCACCTAATGAAGCTTTCTCTAGTATTTATCTATCAAGGAAAGATATCATCCGAAACCAAATTTGTTGGCGAGTATTTTTCACTTTCTTAGAGTATGAGTACGTACACATGTACACACTTGCTGGGTGGTGGGAATGTTTTTGTTTACAAAAACAAAGAATCTCCGAGCAATTAATTTCAACATAAATGATTCATCAATAACCTTTATTCTTAGAATAGGAACAACGAGTCTCAGATTAAAGATGCTTGCGCAAATTACGTGCCACATTTAGTTCAAAATTGGCCACACAATTTGCGCGGAACGGTGCCATGACTAACACATAGTATATACACAGATAAGAGGTACAACACATAACAATATTTTGTATTGTCTCATTTAACACACACCACTTTGATATTTACAAAGTATTTTTAGGGTATTGAAGAAGTTGATAAACACCAAACATATTGTATGTTTAGAAAGCAACTATTGTCCTAGTGACAAGATATCTTTATAGTATTAAGAATGAACAATTATTATTAAGAAAAAAGGGTAATTATCTGAACAAAAAGTTTTAATATTACAACAATGTTTAATTAGTATGAAAATTGGCTTCAAACTAATATTTTATTAATTTAATATGTCTCACGAATACACAAAAATAAAGCCAGTTGATAATGTAACATCCTGATTAACAGTTTACACCATTTACACACCTTATTGATTAGTACTTCCCATAGCGTCTAGAATCCCGTTATCCATTAGAATAGTAAAATGAATTTAAATAACAAGTCAAAAGCCTCTCCCTGAGTGGAATTGCAAAGGAGTTCGTCGTACCGACTAGCAGATAGTGTTTAGTATGTGCATCATCTTAAGTGTGTTGACCCATAAAGGGAGCAGAGGGCTAGGTGTATTGTTTCAATTACTGTATCCGCGCGGAGGTCGTGATGTCGATGACATACTGCGTTCTTGTATAACTCTCCGTGAGAGAGCCCCTGATAAACTGTGCCGCCTGACAACGTATATTGTTCAATAACTGGATTTGACATGTCAATTGAGTTGAATTCATTAAGCTTCGTCTAGCCTGTAAGTGGATTTGCACAATTCTCATCGGCAACAGCAGGCGCGAATGTTGTTTCTGTTACTACTCCTTGGTGCGTATTATTATTAGAAGATTTATTTTCGGACATTCGTATGATGCTTCAAAATACTTTTAAGAAATGTGTTTGTTGACACCATTATCTGGTCATTGTGAAGTTTAAAAATTTTAATTAGCGAATATAATCTACGATGTACCATTTAGTCGTCCTTTCTTCCGTCTTTTCCTCCAAGCTGATAAATATCAACATTTTGTGGGGTACACCTTACGCGTCGTAGTTCCGTGTTTTGTTTTGGCACGTTGTGTTCTTGGTGCTACAAATAGAAAGCGTGATTTCGTGGCTGAATGAGAAGCTAGGTTCACTGATATTAGACGTAGTTCACATTTCCACACCTAGATTATACTACGTAGGTGTTTTAAAGTTATGCAGGTATTAATAGTGTTAAGAATTTCTGACGATCTCGACCTCGTTTCTGGGGCTTTAATTACTTCGAAGTTTTTAGTGCGGGATTATATCTTTGCTGCGTGAAAAAGCCGGCTTTTACTTTCGTTTATTTAGGATTGGATTATCTTTACTTTTGTGTTAATTTTATGTTAATCTTTAGTGTTTATATGGTTGAAAATGTAGCATATTTAGCAGAAAGTTTAATTAAAAGTATAAAATTGAGAAGCTAATTCTTTTATACGCAAAAAGTTAGCGCTCTATACCTAACGAGCTTCGCGCGGTATGATAAATAATGGTCTGCACTTCTCGACATGACTGACGAGGTCTCACCAAGCTTTGCAAAACGCTGCACCGCAGCCAACGAGAGCTCCGTAGTCCGTCGAATAACAAGCTGCTCTTGAATATATCTGCAGTGGTCTCGTGAAATCATTAAAATAGTTTTCAGGGTCATATCAATCTTCCATGTACATATATTAATAAACCCTTCTTGTACGTACTGATTTTTATTTCCTACAAATTATAATAACATTGAAGAGTATTTTACTTACTATCATTAGTAAGCTGCAATATAATCAATTTCTGAATCACACGAGTCTGTACTGAAATTCACCATGAGTAGTATCTTGAATTCTTAAAGTTCTAATAAGTTTTCTATGCAAACTACCGCTTATTCATGGGCACGTTTTCATCGTATCTTTTAATCACCTTGTACCTCGTGGCGGTCATCATTTTTGCCAATGGTCATTCTGGGTTGAATGCATAGTGCATAGCAAGTGTACATTCATCTGCCTGATAATTATATGCACTACACCTACAAGTAATTCACTGGAAATGCATGTCATTGGCATGCATATCCGGATATCACGCATATTCGATTAACATGCCATTTTGTTTGTTTTCCTATGATAAGTCAATTATTGTTTTATATCGTTTATTGAAGGACAATTACCAACAGAACGAAACGAAATAAACCCAGTAACCATTCCGTGCATACAAGTATCCCATTTGTAGATTCTGTATTGGCCGTCAGTTTTTTTTTAATCGTGTTGATTGAATGGGCTAGAGATCCCAGAGAGTGGTGTGGGTTAGAATGTTTCATTTGCGTCCCGCGCCGTTCAGCGACGGCAGGTCAAGCGGAATGTACCAGGCTATATGGATGCGCTGCAGCATCACATCTACAGGTCGTTGATATGTGAATGAACCCACCACATTACGGTGCACTTTGCACTATTATGAGCAACTAATATGCTCATAATAACTAATTATAGCCCATGCGTCCGCTTGCGTATTACTCATGATACAATTATATAGGTACAACGTAAGTGCGTTGATATACGTGATAGATTGCGTTAGTGCACAGTTCGCTCCGTTATCGTCAAGTCGTGTCTGAACCGCGAAGGGTGATGTAGTTAGTGCATCAAGACTTCGCGGTATCGGTTGCCTTTGTCAAGTGACGTTTGGACTTGTGCTTCTTGTTGCGGAAAATATTAAATTAGACTGAATTTTAACACATAAATATAATTAATAAATCGTTTATAGAGGCGTGATGTTTGGTGATTTAAAAAAAAATAATATTTGACTTTTTATTAATAAAATAAAACAATACGTTTTACTGTTTGGATTTTTTGTCAGAAAGAAGGATTTTGTGTATTGATATTTAGGTGAGTGAACTGTCATATTGTTTTAAACGTGATATTAATAATGTAGGCATAAGCCCTTGAAGGGGTTGCCTGGCGTAAACGAAGGGAGGTAGGCGGGAAATAAAACGAATTCTTACGCAGACGCATTTATAGGGCCTTTCGTATGTAAGTGTAATAATGCTGAGTTGGTATTGTTGATACTAAGTTTATAAGACGGCGTGTGCTCATATTCTCATTGATAAGTGGCTGGGGAGTGTGGGAGCATCCACGTGCATTGCGTGCGTCAGCTTGTGCTATCGTACCGTTTCAAATTCATTTCCCCTAAATCATGGAAGGAAAGAAAGGATGAATCTTTGAACATATACATTATAATATCATGTTTGTGATATGCAACGTTTTCTAGTCCTCTAGGTTATTAATGAATATCATACCATTAGCTCGTAATAAGGTATCGCGGCCTCGGCCTGGAGCAGGATAAGAAACGGGGCGGTTTTTAGTCAGAGTCTGACACTCCCTCTCGCCATACACTGAACGAAAGAAGTCGTTTGATGATTTCCCTCCATAAGAAAAGCTGTAAAATTAAACACTACCAAAATGTGATATTCAATGTAACTTCATAAAAATAAGCTTTTACCATAAAGGTATGAGTTATTTATGATTTGAAAAAGATTTTATCATATTCATAGTCCACTGTACAACTTCTAACTGGACTTAGTTCAGTCTTTAGGTTGGAAAACTGGCCGTAATAAAATGATTTCCGGGCGTATTTAAAATGAGACGGTTTTTGGAAATTGATGTGCTTTTGTCCAAATTTCTATAATAATCGCAGAACTAGTTTTGCGCTAGACTTGAAGCACACCTTAGGCAGCGAATAGACGCTCAAGTATTACGACGACAGTGAAGTCTAATCTCTCAGGCTCTCTTTGATTCATGTTTTTCTTGTAAGAATTCATTAAAACTTTGATGTTAAATTGATTATTTTCTATTGCAGCCCCTTCAAGATGAATAGGGGCGTCCGCGTCGAGCCGACGCCGCCAGAATGCGCGCTGGCGGCCGAGATGTTCGACCACTTCTGCTCGGCGGGCACCATGAAGCAGATCCTCGCGCTACACAGGGAGATCTGCAACACGCTCAACCTCAAACCCAACAGACTGCCAGACTTCTACCCGAAACTCAAGGTGAGTTGAGACATCTCGTATGACCTTTAATTAGAAGATTTGTATATTTGCTGTATGCCTAATGCAGTAAGGAAGGTTTTGGCTATTATAGGATGATGATGAGAGATAGAACTCTGTCAAAATATCATGGTGTGAACTTGACTAGGCATGACTTGAGTTTGGAAACTCTAACATACCACTGCGATCTGTATCAGGTAGAATGCTTATATGTAAAGAAGATGCGGACTTAACGAACAATTAGTATTATTTTAGGTTTTTACACTAAACACTGAAAACGTATGACGTTAAAGGTTGGGCTTACCCAAATTGGTGAACCTATAGTACATACAAAATACAGTGGTGCCGTATAGTATCGTCCCGTTTACTTAAATTTTAATACACAATTTTCCCCTTATTTATAACGATTGTCCTGATATTTCTCTCGCTTCATCTCAATTTCGTGGTATTTCAATGAATCAATCGTAATATTTTAGGTTTGATAGTCAGTATCATATCTATAAATCTTCGATTTCGGGTGTAGTGTGTGATTACGAGTGGATCTCCATAACCGGTAGCTTTTATCTATGTTTGTAAAAGTAGATTAGTAAATTTTAAGAAGTAGATTTTAAGAAGTCCATCAAAAATGAATGAGTAGTCTTTGTAGCTGCGTTCGCAGCTCGAAACGACTGGATCAAAATTTATTATTTTTATTCTAACTTCTATTGAAATTAAATTAAAATTTCCATATTTGCGTCACCAAGTTGGTTTGTTATAAATTAATTACTTAAAAAAGTGTTTTCAAACAATTACTTAATCAAAGTAAAAGCTAGGTGTGCCTAAATTATCGCGGGCTTTTGTTGATATAAATCTTTCTGGGATTATTCTATTTTATGATTACTCGGGTGACGTAGTGACTGGGCTATCGACTGTTACATTCCGAAGTACGGATTCGATTCTCGGCGCAATTTCAGAGGGATGCACTTTTATTAATTTATTTATGGCTTCATACGCAAGAAAATGTTCACAAGGTTTTTTTCTAAAAACCCCGGCTAAACATAAGCTCTATATGGTATGTGAGAGAGCGCGAAAGCGCGAGAGCGCGCGGAACGCAGCGGTCTGGTTCTTTTCGGGTGACGAGTTACACTCGCCGTCCGCAGAACCGCGCTTACGGTTACAGGAGATCGTCTCTCAATCCACGACGCCCGGAGTGTTGCCTACTGAGCGTTGCGTGAGGAGGAGGATAGCTCCCCCACGCGCTCCGCTTCCTTCTTTGCGAGCATAAATGCTTCGCAGAAAGAGGAGACGGCTTCCCAGTTCCTTTCGCTCCGCACAATGGCCTCGACTAAGGCCGGGCGCGAGAGTGCATGGTGGTGCTCAGCCCAAGCAGGACACACCGCCACGGGATGCTCCAGCGGGTTGTCTGGGTGGTCCTCATAAATATACATAGGGTGGACTTAATGCATTGAGTATTCTCTATCAGTCTGACCTGTGTGTAGTGCAGAGAAGAATAACTTTTTAAGTGTTGCTAGAGTCCGATGACAGATCTGATTACCCCCTCCTCTGGCCGCACCAAGGCGTGATAATGACACCCTACAAAAAAAAACTTTTTATCTATCTGGAACTCATTGCGAGGTATACATGCATGATGCATGTATAGCGGTGGATATCTTGTAGCTTGATGAAACATTTCCGCACTGCAAAAAATAAGTAAAAGTCAATATTATGCATGTCGAAATACAGTCAGTATAAGTAAATTTAAGTTAAAATTAATTACAGTGTACTTGTGCCATTTCCGTGACTATTTCAATTTAACCGGAATTAAAGCAAACACCTGAATTTCAATACACACATCATAATTAAACACCTCTAACTGCCAACGAAACTTCAACCTTATTCCTTACTATCACAGTTTAATGTTTATCTTGAAGCCGGTTTCCATTTCGCATTGCACTTTTAACTTAGAAAGTGATATTTTTATAATATTGTAGACGAAAGTTTACCAGACCGCGACGTTTGCGAAGCGTGTAGTCAGTTTGGTATATCGTAGGTACCGGTCACACTGCTTTCCATTGCGGTACAGCCAGGGGCCAACAGATAGTGTTACTTGCGTACTTTGATGAGATAATGTGGACGCATAAATTGCAGTCGAAGCCGTCTTAGTAAATCGCTATTTGTACCTGACCTTGTTTAGTTGTATACGAATATTAATTGTCTAACAAGCCGATAACGATGTTTTAACATCCAAATAGTATGCTCGTCTCTTATTTTCATTAATCGGAATCTCACTAATTTTATAATTGCGAAAGTTACGATGTTTGGATGTTTGTTACTCAATTACGTCAAAACGGCTGGACGGATCTGGATGAAATTTGGCACAGGCATAGGATACTCTCCGGAATAGGAACTTTCCAATTTTTATCAACATACCACGCGGGCAAAGCCGCGTTCGGAAGCTAGTATGAAATATTTTTACGTCTGCTATAGTAGCAAACAGATCTCAAAGCCGTGGTTACCCCGAATACAACGTGGAAGCGGCACGATTCCACGTGACACACCAATTTAACACTTAGTACGTAGAATTTTATCTAGAACGACCGTATTTCGATGGCATCGAGCCAAAACGAATGCAACTCACCGCTCGCCCGACACCCTGGAATTCGGATATTGTACCGGGAAATGGAGAAACGACGCAAAACAAACTTTACGGCGGCTAAGACCTTAAAGCTAGCTCTCAGAATGCAGGTGTTCAAAGGGAAACGGCTAACAGAATAATCTCTGTCAATCAACCCCGACCTTGAAGTGCCGTGATTTCTGCAGGAAATTTCTAAAGTTTTTGCAACTTGCAATATCTATGGAAGTAAAATAATATCTTTACTGTTATACGTACATTACCTATAAGCCATTTGATCGATGACGATAATGTGTTTTCGTGTGAAGAAAATGTAGGTTCCAATAATTAAAAATTTTTTTGTCCTTACAGAACATTAACTGTATTGTAAGGATAAAATAATAGTTGTTACACGCGGGAGTCGAAACTGAAAAATGTTGTACGGCAGCCGGTTATCCAGCCACTGCGTCATCGCATATTCACGCAAATTCCTTATGTATGATAAGATATACAAAAATGGTTTTAAGAATAATAGGGACATAATAAACATTACTTAGATTTTTTTTTATGTGAAAGCAAACCAGCACACGGATTACCTGATGGTAAGCAATCAGCGTCGCCCATGGACACCCGCAACGACGGAGGAGTTACGAGTGTGTTGTCGACCTTTTAGGGATTTGGAGATTTTAGGAAAGGGAACGGATTTGGGTAGGGGAAAGATTGGGCCTCCGTTAACCTCACTCACACGGCGAAACACAACTCTTTGGTTATTTCACGCCGGTATTCTGTGAGGCCGTGGTATCACTCCGGTCGAGCCGAGCCATTCGTGCCGAATCATTCTTCTTATATGTGTTAAGCTAACGGACGAAACGCAGTTAAATAGTTCTTACATGGATATAGTTAATTAACTCATTTTATTGGTACTTAAATGCATCTGAAATTGACCATTTCTTCCTGCCTATGTCTAATATTTTCACTCAGATCGGTGAAGCGAGAAAACGAAGACGTTTCCGAAAGTTTTACCGCCATAATTTGAAATGAAACGCTGGCCACTGCATTAAGTGCTTATTAGACCCTGAAGTAATGACGCTAAATGGAAGTGACTTTGAGCAATTCAGAAAATGTAATAATACTTATTCAATTGGCTGGCTGATTCTCTCTTCAATTTATTTCTCCAATAGAAAAGTTGACCATTTAATGGTGACAAATAATTATATAATTTTCATAGCATCTTATTCATACTGCAATAAAGTCTGTTTTTGATACAATCGGACTAAGGTAAGATCTCACAAATGTCTTTATTTAATTCCAAGTACGAAGTAGTTTGCCCCTAAGGTCAAACATCTTAATCCAGTAACACGTAGCCGGCCAAATGATAATACAATGACCTGTAATTACAATAAAACCAAAATTTCGACACCGGAGGAATGAAAAATAAAAACAAAACAAAAGAATTCGCGTGTGGGCGGCATGTTGTTAACTTCTGACACAAAAACTTGAAGCCATTATTAGATGTTTGGTGTAAACAAAACTGGTAGGTGTTCAGTTAGTATTTTATTAGATCGGATAAATAGTGGATGTTATTTAGGACTTACATACATTCCTAGTTCTCATCGATTGGTAGATTTATTCGTTGATTTATCGGAACAACACTATTATACAGAGTTAGGAATCATTTATCCCGCCAATGTTATCAAGGTTAAACGAAATACTTAGGCATCATTTTGAATTATTTTTCTGAAGAAGTTTATTTAGTACAACGTCGCTGGGTCACCTGTTTTGTTCTGTATTTTCAAATTGGATTATTCAATTCCATGGTTTCTATATTGTTCATTCAGCATTTTATAACTCAAATCAAATATTAAAGAAACAAATATGGTTTACCGCCGTAATCACAATTGTTATGAGGATATCTAACCCCTTAGATCAATAATAGTAACCAAGTCTTAGGAATACATAGGTTATCATTGAATATCTCTGGATATGGTGATTATAGTTTTTTTCTACGTCACATAAAAAATCATTTACCGTATCATTCAATCCAAAAAGATTTCGCGTCTATCTAAACTTATTAGGATAAATTAACTGATAGGTGAGTGATCGTTGATACTAGTTGATACCGTATGTGTGCCCAACCTCGCAACTTAAGAGAGCGTGAAGATAAGATCCAGATAACATAAACAATGTCAAGTGCTTATCTTTCTGAGGAAGTTACACTTTAGTTGGGTAACTGCCGTTCTAGACATCGTTTGTGTAGATACTTAGACTCTTTGGGGACTAGATAATACAGTTATAAATAATACTATCAAATATCTTGAAAGGAGCATTTTTATATGTGTATGTAATATGTATACACATTCCATTTTGGAAACGGCTTCAAAATTTTCTAAAATGATCTAATTAACAAAAAAGT